CAGAGGGCCTCAAGGAGCCCTGGCAGCACAGTGCCTAAGGCATTTGACTGCTAACCAGAAAGTTGGCAGTTCAAACCCATGAGCCACTCATTGAAAGGAAGATAGGGCAATCTGCTTCTGTAAACATTATCTCCTTGGAGACCCACAGGAGTCGCTATGAGTAGGAATCGACTTGATGGCAGTGGGTGGAAGCTCTTAGCAGGTATGCTAAAACAAACAAACAAAAATAAACAAATTCACTGCCATAGAGTCAGTTCCTACTCATAGTGTTCCTCACTGGTTTTCCAAGGCTGTACATCTTTAAGGAAGCGTAATTGTCCAATCTTTATTCCATAGGGAAGCTGGTAGGTTTAAACCACTGACCTTCTGGTTAGCAGCCAGATACCTTAACTGCTATACTACCATGTTGTTGTTGTTGTTGTTATATGCCGTCGAGTTGGCCCCGACTCATAGCGACCCCTCCTTGGGTTTCCAAGGCAGTATCACTACGGAAGTAGGATTGCCCAACCTTCCTTCCGAGGAGTGGCTGGTGGGTTTGAACTGCCAGCCTTCTGGTTACCAGTCCAGTGCCTTAGGCACTAAGAGACCTTCATTCCTGCCTTCTCAGCCTTGAGGGAGGTGCTCTTTTCAGAAGGTGGAAGCATTTCTCTCTCACTGATTTGGAAGAAGATAATAAAATGTGCCTGAGGACTGGCTGCTTCAGCACTGGAATTCAGGATTGGGTAAAGGACTGTGGCATGAGCTCTCTTTCCCTGGAGATTTGCCAGTTTGCTTTGTGAGGGAGAAGAGGGGATAAAGAGGTAAAGGGAAAATGTGGGACAGAATGTGCTGAACTCTTGAGTTCTTTAGTGGGAGCTGTCTTTCTTGACAGTCACTGATAAGCTAGCAAAAATTCTAAAAACAAACAAAAGCACCTAATTCTTTACATTACATGGTGTCTCTTCTATCCTCTTTATATACATATTGATTTTTCCATTATAGATGTTGTCACTGGAAAACTGGGAATATAGGGAAAATGCATACAAAGAACGTACCACTAATCATGGCGTTTAGGACTTCTGTGCATCAGGATTTGTGTGTTTTATTGAATTATGTGATATTTATAATTTTATACTTAGTAGTTAATCATTTTATCAGGAACATTTTATAGCTTAGGACATTGCCTTTATGGATTACAGTGTATTCTGGGTTATATAACTATGGTGGATATTTAGTTTCAGTTAGTATTTTGACATAATAAATGACACTTTAGTGGACATCGTTGCTTTATTCCTTGTTTATTTTTTAACTTAGAGTAATTTCCTTAGAATAGATTTCCCAGATCTCAATGACTGGGGCAAAGCTTAAAGTAGATTTTCCAGCTCTTGATTTAGACATTTAAGAGCCTGCCTGTAGGACTGTCGTGAGTACAAATAATGCTTATGAAGTCCCTCTGTCAGGGCCTGGCACAGGTTGAGCACTAAATAAATTAGAACAATTTTTAAAACAATTGCAGCATGCAATGGCGTTATTCGGGGTTTCTATTAATTTGCACTGCCACCAGGAATATATGAAGTTCCTTGTTGAACGTCCCACCTCCGTCGCATTTTATAATCATTTCTCTTTATGATAACCTTTGGCAGTTATCGTAAAGATAACTTGAAGGTGAAAAGATAAGTGAAAGTGCTACATCATTATTGATTTAATTTGCATTTCTTTTATTATCAGTGAGAATGTACAATTTTGGGTGTTGTAAACCCGCTTCTCATCTTATTTATGCTTTTACTTCTTTTTTTTCTGGCATTTAATGTTTTCTTCTCAGTTTATATGAACTATTTATACATTCAATTCTTTATCATATTTGCTGTTATATGACCATTTACCGAGCACTATATTTTTATATCAGACTTTGGTTGTTTTTCTGCATGATACACATTTCTCATTAAGATGAAAAATAATTGAGGTTAGCATTGTGATCTCACAAATTCTGTAGGTGCATTTTTTTTTATTGAGACATCATTTTAAAATTGTTATTCCTGATTTTAATAGCAATATCTCTAGTGTTTTCACCATTAAATAGAATATGAAATTTTTATTTTAAAAAAATAGGCTATTTGTTACAGCAAGGGTTTATCCGGTTTCTTTAAATTTGGGGATTTTACTATTTGGAGCAGAGTTTTTCTCAGAATGATTGTGTGGTTTTGTTATATGAGCATTTGTTAGAAAAGATAATGGTTTTTCTAATATCCCATATGTATTTGTAATTAACGTGTGCAAAAAGGGCAAGGAGGCCACATCTTCCGACCTCCTCTAATCCCACAAGAGGAAGACAGAATCACCATCAATAGTCCAAGGCCTATTCCTGCAAGGCCAGACATGCTGCCTCCTTCCAGCCCTTTCTCCAACCGTTCCTTCCAAAGCACCCACCACCTCTCTCCTGGGTTCGATAATTCTCTGCAGTGGCCACACAGAGCTCACAGATTATGGGGTTTATTAGGGAAGCACCACAGGCTACAATTCAGGTTCAGGAAAAATGTTCAGTCTCTCTCCCAGCCCACTGTCTCTCAGCCAGTCTCTCACAGTCTCTCCCCCAGCAGTGTCTGGGGACACTGTGTCTCTTTCAGGAGCGCGTGTCTCTTTCAGCAGCACGTCTTCCTCAACCAGCAGTCAGAGAGAGTTCTGCCTCTAGGAGGCCTCCTTTTGAGCCTGGCACAGTGGCCAAACTAGCCAATCATAGCATCAGAACTCTAAGCACCTGAGGGAGAGTGGGAACCTCCCAGAACATTGTATTGTGCCACGCCCAACAAATACTCCAGGTGGACAACTTCAGCAATCAGGAGCTCCTCAGTTGCTCATAGCAAATCCCACCTTGGAGTTTACAAAGACTTATGGGTAGAAAAGCCACACTAAGTAATTTACCACACCGCAGTGTGTTTTCACTATTTTAGTGTTTTGCTCTTTTCATCAATAATACTATTTCATATAGACTGCTTTCTATATGTCAACTTTGTATTTATATAACAAAAAACCCCAAACTCACTGCCATTGAGTCGTTTCTGACTCATAGCGACCCCCATTGTATTTCTGAGGCTGTAAATCTTTGTGGAAGTAGATTGCCCTGTCTTCCTTCTGCAGAGTAGCTGGTGGATTTGAACCACCAATCTACTGGTTAGCAGTCAAGTGCCTTATCAACTATGCCACCAGAACTCCTTTTTGTATTTGTATAATGTGTAAAAAAGTAAGGAAATAATATTAATATATTAAGAGGGATTATCCTTAAATAGGGAGCTCTGGTGGTGTAGTGCCTAAGGCATTTGACTACTCACCAGAAGGCTGGTGGTTCAAACCCATTAGCCACTCCTCGGAAGAAAGGTTGGCCAATCTACTTCCATAGTGATACTGCCTCGGAAAACCAAGGAGGTGTTGCTATGAGTCGGATACGACTCAATGGCAGTGCGTTTTTTTGTTGTTGTTTGTTTGTTTTATCCTTAAATAATGCGATTATGGATTATTTTCATTTGAAAACACTCTTCTGTTTTTTCTAATTTTCTAAATGAGATTTCATTAAGAGAAAAAAAAATTATATTGCCCAAAATATGCCAGTACCAGACCAACTAATTAGGAGGTGAAATATGAGTTAGGAGGATTAGACATGATCTAAGGAAATCTACCTATTTTGGGTATATAAAGGAACCCTAGTGCTGCAGTGGTTAAAGTGCTTGACAGTGAACCGAATGGTTAGCCACTCCATAGGAGAAAGATGTGGCAGTCTGCTTCTGTAAAGATTATAGCCTTGGAAACCCTACCGGGCAGTTCTGCTCTATCCTGTAGGGTTGCTATGAGGAGGAATTGATACAACAGCAATGAGTCAATTTCTGTTTGTTCATTATCTAGACTCCAGTTTATTTTGATACATCTTCTTGTTCTTGCAAGGTGCTGTCAGTTCTTACTTACAGCCACCCGGTGTGACAGAATAGTACTGCCCTATAGGATTTCCTAGGCTGTAATCTTTTATAGGAGGAGATTTGGTAGCATAGTGCCTAAGGCACTTGACTGCTAACCAGAAGGCTGGTGGTTCAAACCCACCAACCACTCCTCGGAAGGAAGATGGGGCAATCTACTTCTGTAGTGATACTGCCTCAGAAACCCAAGGAGGGGTCGCTATGAGTCGGGGCTGACTTTATGGCACACAACAACAACAATCTTTATAGGAGCAGATGGCTGAGTGTTTTCTCCTGCAGATTTATAACCCTTTCAGTTAGCAGCCAGTGCTTAACCGTTGTGCCACGACTGCTTCTCATTTTGAAGCTAAGGAAGCATAAAAATGGGTTTTATTTTTTTTTTTTTTTAATAACATGGCTTTTATATTTAATTTTGGAGAATAATGACAGTATGTTGTGATATATTTTCCTAAACTAAGAGTTTAGGACTTGGTGTCTGACAAATGATTTGTGTGTGTGTGTGATTTCTGATATTTTTACCTGAAAATCTTTAAAAGAACTACACGTAATACTTAAGTTCACATTTATCCTTTACTGAAAGGAACTGTGTTATCTCAGGATGGTCCCAGAGGTCCCGGGGTCTGTTTGGCCCTCAGTGAGGGCACTAGACTGGTTGCTTTTGGAAATTTGTTCTCTTGGCCCCACTAAGAGCTCACAACCCAGACACCATCTCAAAGGTGTCTTCACCCCCATCTGAGACTACACACAGATATAGAAATGTCAATACGTTCATTTGTACTTCAAGACACAAACAGTAGTCACTGGGTTTGGTGTCTAAATTGCATCCTGCAGACGTTCGGAATAGCTCTTGTTTCTGCAGGTGTAGTCAACACTTTTCTTTCTGAGATGACATTTGGCTAATTTCAGAGCTCAGGAGTTCTCTTCAGTTTTGAGTATTAACATACTGTGTACTTAAAGTATCAAAATCTTGATGGATATTATGATTATTGAAGATTATATTTATCTATAAAAGAATAATGTCTCTCTCCTCTTTTTTTTTTTTTTTTTTCATTTCTGTAGCTTTGGGCCAGATAATGTTGTATGTGGATGGGATGAATGGAGTAATAAACCACAATGAAACCATTCAGTGGCTGTACACTCTCATTGGCTCAAAGGTAAGAAAGAGTTACAGTTGAATATTCAGTTTGCATATCATATACCTTGCTTTTCTTTTTTTTCATTCATCCTGAGAAGAGAGAGTTTTGCAGAAAAATGTATTTCATTCTGCTCAAGGCTTGTCACAGTACAAATGAAGACTACTTTTACTACCTTATAGAATTTAAACACACATAAATTACTAGTAGCTTAGGAATTCTTAACACGTTTCTATTTTTTCTTCTTTCAAACTTTAATCAAATGCATCAAGCATTTGGTTTTTAATCTTTAATTAAAATATTATATCATAGACATAGTATTAATCTTGCTTGCTGTGTTTCATATTCATATATGGTCAGCTAATTAACATATTTATATGCTGTACATATGCATATGTGTAGTCTTATACGTAAGGAGCCCTGGTGGCACAATGGTTAAGCTGCTACCCAGAAGACAGATAGTTCAAAGCCACCCAGTCACTCCAGAAGGTAAAGACCTGGTGATCTGCTCTTGTAAAGATTGCAGCCTAGAAAACCTGATGGGGGAACTTCTGCTGTGTCACATGAAGTCACTAAGAGTGGAAACTGACTCAACAACACCTAACCACAACATTCCTATATGTAGATGAAAGCATTTGAGAATACCTTTCAGCTATACTATGAATTATAACAATAACCAGTGTTTGTTAAAGATTTACCAGGCACTGTGCTAGGTGTTTTAGAAGCATTATCTCATTCAATCCTCATAACACTGCTGTAAGGTAAATGTTATTCCTATTTTATAAATGAGGAAACTAGTTCTTGGTTGTGAGAATCTATTTAATTTCCCCCATAAGCCTTGGGGAGAGTTGGCCTGGCTGTACTTTGGTTGGCCATGCTTTGGCCTTGACTTTGAGGATCCCCCCGCTCCCAGGAAGTGCTATCCCAGGGAAGCAGATCTACCCTGTTAATCCAGAGGTGCCTGAAGCTGGGCCAGGCTCTGCATCATCCTCTGGGGGTTCTCAGGTTGGGCTTTCAGGGACTTGGTTGGAGGGGGGGATTTGGAAGACCAAGTAAGAAGAGTTTCTGTCCTGAACAGATGCAAGTGCAGATGATTCGAGTAGGTTCAGCTCTTGGGAGCCAGGGCAGTTGGGGTTGTGAAAGAAATCAGAGTGGCTAGATACTGCCTCGGAAACCCAAGGAGGGGTTGCTATGAGTCGGGGCCGACTCGACGGCACATAACAACAACAACAAGAGTAGTGTCAACAGTGTCCAGCAGATGAAGGTTGCGCTTAAGGGCCTGGATGATGTGGAATTTGAACTCAATTTTCATGGAATGATTCCATGACTTCCTGACATCCGTGTAGAGCACATGGTCTTCTCCAACACTATATTCACTGCCCAACCCCCACCCCTGCTGGTGAGCCTGTCACGTCCTCTGGCCTTGCCTCCTATATTACCTCCTTCTTGAGTCACCGGACTCCACTGGACTCTAGGAGCACTCTTCTCAGTCTTGCTTTGTGACAAGTACAGTTCTAGTTTTAGGCTATCTTTCCCTTTTAGAATTTCCTAGAGCCCTGGTGATTGTGCCTTCATGTAGGTGAGAGTGCCTTTTCTCTATGAGTTGTTGTTTTGTGCCCGCCACTTGATTTCAGTTCATAGATCCTGTATGACAGAGTAGAACTGCCCTGTAGGGTTTCCATAAGCTCAAAAAAACAAACTCATCACCATCAAGTCAGTTGCAGCTCACAGTGACTCCACTCTGTTTCTGAGGCAGTAAATATTTACGGGAGTAGATTGCCCCATCTTCCTTCCATGGAGCAGCTGGTGGGCTTGAACTGCCAACCTTCTAGTTAGCAGTCAGTTGCCTAAAGAACTGCACTACCAGAGCTCCCATGGGAGCTCTGTAGAAATAGCTGTGATATTATGGAAACAGACTGCCACATCTTTATACTACCGAACAATAGTGGGTTCACACTGCTGACCTTCTGGTTAGCAGCCAAGCTCTTAACCACTGTGGTAACAGGGCTCCTTTCTTTGTGGATGGGCACTGCCATATGGATATGTGCTGGGTCCCAGTCTTTGGCTGACTCTTTATATTTTCCTCTCAATTTTCCTTTCCTTTTCTTAGTATTATTAGTGATAGAATCTTTCCCCCATTTCATAAAAGAAACAGTTACAATTTATCTCAGGAGACTGGAAACCAGTTTTTGTTTGTTTGTTTGTGTTCTACAGAAAATGGAAGCTACTATTTTCAAACTGATGTAGGTGACCTTGAGAGCTGAGTGGGATGCTGGGCCTAGGTATTGCTTTAGACAGGCCAGGGAAAGGTTTCAATGTCATGTTCTGTTTTACTGTTTTCTGTTTTACCTTCCTTCTGCTGGAGGCTGGCATCCCCATATTCTGGGAGCCTCTTCATTTGGAAGCCACTCTTTCCCCAAGGCTTTCTGGATGGTCTTGAAGAGCCCCAAACTGTGGAGACTGGAGGAGATAGTACAAATGAAAATGGACTTTTGATTGGTATCACCTCTGAATTTAAACATACAGCTTCATATAAACCAAAAAACCAAACCCACTGCCATCGAGTCAATTCCAACTCATATCGACCCCCACTGGGTTTCTGAGTTAGTAAATCTTTACAGAAGTAGATTGCCCAGTCTTCCTTCCATGGAGTGGCTGGTGGGTTTGAACCGCCAACCTTGTGGTTAGCAGTCAAATGCCTTAGGCACTGCACCACCAGATCTCATGATGAAATACCAACAACTAGACCCCTGGTGTCACTAGGAATGTGGTGGGGGTGGGGTAGTGGGTGCTGACCACATCTCCTGACACTGTCAGGTGAGGGTGACATTAAAATGATCCCAAGGTCAGTGCTAGTGGTGGAAAGGCCAGCACCACATGGGAAGGGGCTGCCATGACAGTGGTATCACTAGGGTTGGTGTCACTTGTCACCCAGTACAGTAACTCATCACATACATCCCATCACTCACCAGTCAGGGGGTAAGCAGATGGTCCAAGGTGCCTGCCATTGAGCAGAGAAGAGGGTTTCCTCCTAGGCCAGTGGGAGGGGGATGAGTGTGGGGAGACTGGTGGGGACAAGCTGGGAGAGGTAGGGTGGGGCCCTGTGGGGTGGGCCAGGCTGGGCTACTCTACCTGTTGGGAGGGGTTGCCAGTCAGCTGGTCTATGGGAGACAAGGGATGTGTGTGACACTATGAGTTATTGCCCTGGGTGGTACCAGCTCTGGTGATGCCACTGAACTAACCCTACTTTGTAACAGGCAGCAAAACCTAGCATGTATGTAATAAGAACAGAGTCACTATGGGTATGAGTGTAGACTGTGAGCAAGATCAGGGCTGGTGGAACTGGAAAACCAAAGCCAAACTCACTGCCATCATATCACTTCTGCCACCCCTGTTGGGTTTCCAAGGCTGTAAATGTTTATGGGAGTAGATTGCTTCATCTACCACCTGTGGAGTGGATGGTGGTTTGAACCACTGACCTTTTGGTTAGCAACCAAACGCCTTAACCACTGTAGTACCAGAACTCCTTGGTGGAACTGGAGGAGGGTAGGAAATCAACATGAGAGGGAGAGAACATAGAGGAAAGGCACAAAGAAGAGGAGAGAATGGGGGAAAGTGGGACTGAGACCCCATGGGGGAAGAAAAGAGAGCTCACAAGAAAAAGAAAAAAGAGATAACAACCTCATCTCTCTGCTTAGCAGTTGGGGAAGAAGTTTCAACATTCAAGATGGCATCATGCCAATTTTTCTTTGGAATCTTTCTGTTAGGAAAACAACCAACCAAAGAGAAACACAGGAAAATCCTTAGTGTATTTCTAAACAGCATGAAAAAAATCATAAAATCAAAAAGCCTCAGGCTTTGGTGTTAGAAATTATAATTTACCAGCTCCTTTCCTTGTATAACACACTGGCCAGTTAAACCAGTTGCCATCAGGTTGAGTGCCACTTATCGGGAACTCATGTGTGAGATGAGAGTGAGACTCTATAGGATCTTCAATGGCAGATTTTTTGGAAGTAGCTCTCCAAGCCATTCTTTCAAGGAGCCTCCAGGTGGACTCGAACCTCTAACCTTTCAGTTAGTAGTCGAGCACCAACTGTTTATACCACCCAGGGACTCTATAGCACATGCAGTGTGTGCTTATTCTACCACTACAGTTGTTCAAGACACATGTCCTCTTCTTAAGGCCTCTGTCTGAGGTGGTGTGTTTGCCTCCTCCCCAGACATTTGGAGGCAGCAGCACTGGGTTGGTGCTGTCTTCATTCTCCAGCTTTCATTTTTTCAAAGGGCAGTCCATAGCGGTCTCTGGGTCCTGTGTCCAACACAGTGCTGGCCACTATAGGACAAGAAAATAGATCCAAGAGTCAGCCCTATGCCTTGGATCTTGAAGATTGGTTAATAAGGAGAACCTAGGTGATGCTGGCAGCCGTGTGCCACTTACTGTGACATCAGGTACAGGTCCCACGTGACCTTGCAGAGTGTGCTTAGTTCCCGGCTGGTGGCTGACAGCAGCAGCTCCAGTAGCCATTTGTATCGTTCTAATGAGATCACCTCTTATTTACAAAACTGATAACAATATTCCCCTGACATGGCTCTCACCTTCAGGACCAGTTTAGTGAGTAATCCTGAAAGAATGACAGATATGTCAGCCTTAGGTTTTGAGAATGAAGCCTCAGTCCCTTCCTTGGCCACAAAGATTGGGTGATAAAGCCATGGTAGGTTTTCCCAATTTGAGTACATTACAAAATCAAGAAAGCCAGGGGTCCTAGGGTTTTCTTTTGATGCAGAGTCAGATTCTTTTAACCTAAAAGGTTTACCTAGAAATCCTATTGTTTTTGCCTTACACAGTCACAGAGTAGATGGATGAAATCCTGGCTTATAGAAATCTTGTCATTCTGTTTTCATAATTTCTCATTTTCATGTATGAAAGGCAACAAAATGTGATTTTGCAGCTTGCCAGTGGGTCATTATGTGATACATATTTCCAGATATTTGAGACTCATAGCCAGAGGAGAAAATGATGC